CCGCCATTCCTGCCTCTCTCTTGCTTAAAGGGCAACTCCTACTCCTTGCCATCCTGGCCTGCCCCTCCTGAGGAGCCTGTATCCATCCATCACAGCAGCCCTGCAAGCTACTCAACTCCACCCCACCCCTTTGGTCCCAATGAGATCCCAGCCCTGCAGCTCTACCCAGAATTCCAGCTCCTCCTGCTCTTCTCCACAGTGCACATGCACTAGTACACAGGCACTTCAAGTGGGCTCCTGTCAGGCTGATTTCTCAAAGCATGTCAGATTTCCCCATCATGCACTTCTTGATCTGTGCACATACACTTGGTGTGGGCCTCATTCAGCCCTTTATTGTTTTCAGTTTCTCCTCTCTACATCAACCCACATTCTTTGCTGACCCACCTGACCTGCCCTACCACTTCCTCATGTGTCTGTGGTTTGTTGTCTCCCTCCCACATCTTTCCAATATCCTTAGGGCATTAAATCAGAGTAATCTAGCAGCAAGTACAACAAAATATTCTGTCATTTCTCTTAATTTTGTCTAAGCTAGAGGTTTGATACTCATCTTACCCACAACACAGGAATGTATCTATTAATCCAATTATTTGACATGAACCTCAAAAGTCTTTCTGAATTACCTCAGAACTCCTTCAAATTGTATCCTCACAAACTGTAACAAGCATTTGCAGTCTTTCTCTTCACCTCGTGTTCGACTGTATGAATATGAAAACCAACTGCTCAGTACTCTAACCTCCATTATCTCTTTTTCTCTCAATCTTTATCAAATCCGTGAAATGATCATTTCCTTCTAGATCACTGACTTGTTTTTTTGACTCAGACACATTGAACTAAGAGTCAATAAATGAGCCTACCATGCATCTTATTCTACCCTTATTGCTACTTTTAAACTCAGTTCAAATACCTGTACGAAAAGGAAATAAACCACCTTCATGAACAGGTTTAGTTAATAGACAGAACTTGGAATATCCCAAGTAAGATGCTCACTTATCCAGAACTTCTACACAAAGAAAGAAGGTTCAAGTACCTTTTAAATTTACAGTTGTTTAACTGTATTAAATGTTGATTTTAGCATTTAATACTTTTGAAAAGTCTCCAAATCTCACTCGTATTGAGTATTTTGAAAGAGAGACAGTGTTATTTGTAAAAGAAGTTGAAATTATTAGCCGAATCACAGAACGTTTTTGACAATCATATACAAACAGTTTAATTTCACTTATAGCTTGATTTATTCACCTCTACTAAATTGCTGAGAAGACAAAGAGAAGTAAAAAGAAAGAGGAAAAAAGTTGTTAAACAAGCTCAGTAACACATACTTCCAAATCAGTTCCAATGAAGAAGTTAACATGGGTTTACAACAGAACTAGCAAACTTGCTGTTTAGAGTGTTATAAGCAGTTCAGATGTTCTCTCTAAACTCTGCTTATAAAGCTCTAAGCAGATTCTGTTTTAATCCCTTTGCTTCCTTAAAACAAATATACAACCACTTTAAAAAGAACTTGACAGATTTTTTTTTCCCCATGCTACTCAGTAAGTAAGTTTCCACAAGTCTTCCCATGCTTCTAGATTCAAATGTGCACTTCTGTACCTACAGCCTCAAAAATGTTCTAACTCTGCACTTACTTGATGCAACAATTATGTGAATAACAGCATCAGCTCATTCTGTTCTATTGTCATGATGTGAGACTTAAGGGTATGAAGAAGCTTAGGTATTCTTCTCCAAAGTGCAGTCACCACAAAGAAGACTAAAACAAAAACCAACCACAACAAACCAGAGGCAGAGCAGACAAAAATGGGTGTGTATGGATGCATAAAACTGATGCTGACAAATCTTACTGCTCAAAAGAAACTTGAAAGTAGAAGAACAGGGAACCCAAAACTTCCAAAACACTACAGGGGTGGAAATCACTCACATGTGGATCACTGTCTCTCGAAGCACTATATGCATGAGAACAGAACCAAGCCATTAACACTCCCTGTGCCATAGTAAGAATTCCAAACCACTCACCCCTTTTTTCTTGGAGCTGCACAAATTTATGAAATAAAATACTCTTGTCTACAGAACTATACATATCACATGAAACATGCTTCTGCAATTCTCAGATTGTACAGTATAATGAACAAGCTACTGACTTTACAGTAAGCTTAGAGAAAGCCAAACAATAAACTGAACCCTGCATTTTGAGCCTCCTAAAATGCTGCTTGAAGAATGTAGCTTATGGAGAGCAACCTGCACGTACACTACTTCAGAGGTGCAAAATAGTCAGCGGGGAAAAAAAAAAAAAGGCTAGTTCTGGGACCTTATGCCACCTGGAGGGTCCCTCAGAGGTCTACTTAGCAACAGGAAACCAAGGAAAGAAGGTCAACATAAAAATCAGCCTGCTCCCTACCAGATGGCTACAGTACAGCTACAGAGACATGTGTTGTACACCTCCAACGCACAGAACAATTAAATGACTGTTAAAAAGTCTCAACAAGGAGAAAAGGACAAAATAAAAAGGAAGGGAAAAAAGAAAACAAAGGCTAAAGTAAAACTGTAAATTCTGTAGACTCTTGACACAGTAATAATACTAGAGTTCAGGTAAATCAGTGAAATCATGGGATTCCATTTTAACTGAATGGGACAATTCACAACTCTTAAAGTACTGTTGCAATTCTACAAGCAAGGGCATTGGCTTACACCACAGCTTGTGTTTCCAAGGTTGTGTCTACAACTGCTAGAATTACGTGCCTATTAAAAAGCATTGGTCAAAAGTGAATCCTTGAACAAAATCAGCACCAAGACAGAACTGATGACAGTGTTACCAAGGTATGGAGTAGAACTGGTTCATTTTCCTACCATTACACAAACTTGTGGGCTCAAAGTGAAACTGTCAATAAGCATACCAATTAATCTTGGGCTGGAAACCTTACACAGGCTATTACACAATGCTGCCTACTATTCCCTAGAAAGAGTACTCTCAGAGGAGACAGGAAGATAAAGGTGGGGAAAAAGAAGATGGCCATCCTTCTTTGCAGTCAGAATGTTAAGCAGCACAGGAATCAGAGAACACAATGTTTGTTTCTACTACTCTGCATGAGTTCTGCAAGTCACACTTTTCAAGAGATCCATCATACATAGACTCAGAAATAATTAGGTTTTCTTCACTGATGGCTGACAGGCCTTTCAGCTGTGTCTTTCCAAGATGCATTAGTTGTTTTGGTTTTTTAATTAACTACAAATTAATTACCATGACAATGCAGTTTATATATTAAGAATTATTTTGTATATTCAGAAGAGGGGAAAAAAAAAAAAACAAAACAAACACACAAACACAACAAAAGCTAAAGAAATACAGAAAAAGTCTCTGCTATGTTTGAAGTAACGAGTGAAGAAATAGACAAGTCTGTTCAAACTCTGCAAGTGTCCCATCCCTGCATTTCTCCAGACAAAAAAGCAAAATGTACGTGGGTGAAGAGGTGAATTATATTTACAATCACCTTGACAGACTTTTAAAAATGAGGACTGCAATACATGAAGTAGCAGAACTGAACTGCACTTCCACCTGCATTGTCTGAGTTATCTGCTGTGAGGTTAGAAAGGACACAAGCTCCTGGATCCACAAAGGCATCAGTTATATCAGCATTTGTGGGAAGATAAATGCAGCCCAACTGTCCCAGACTGGCACAAAGTATGTATTTATGAGATTTTTGGCACTACTAAAATTGACTATTTATGAAGAAATCCAAACTACACTGACACCTGTCTGTTTTTATAATTCCCATTACCTGAGAAACTTACAAATTCAGTGCTGATTTCAAAAAAGAAAAATATTGGATAGAAGTCTGAACAACAAACCAGAAAATAGTTAAAAATAAGAACACTAGTACAGAGAAAAAATGTTCCAGGGATCTCATAAAGGCAATTCTTTGTGAACCAACATTTATTACAACACACTGAATTTTCAGCTTCCTAGTTCACTTCAACACACTGTACCAAACCTAAACATCTCACCACACTAAACCTAATAGTCATGCTTTAAATTTAACAGAAGTTAGAGAGAAGTGTCAAAATAATCTTTAATTACATATTGATTGTCCTCTTTGCCTTCTTAATCCAATTCTGTGGTGGTGGTCCATTTTTGGCTTATGTTTTTGCTAGAGAAAAGTCAAGAGGAAAGAATCTACATAGGGAAATTCCTTTCCACTGAAAATAACCTGAGTTTTCTGCCTGAGCTACACAGATCAGCCATCACCATCACATCCAGCCTTAAGACACGTTTGCCAAAATATGCCAAAACTATTTTAACACGCAAACCAGCATGGTCATTAAATTGTATATATGAGAGTAACAGTAGCACAGTATTTATCTGCTCTCAATACAAAACATCAGTACATTTAGTTTTTGGGAACAATTAGGTGACATGCCATTGGTACTATAAAAAAAAAAATCCACCAAAAAAAGGATTTTGTACTTACGGTAAATATTCGCCTGCCAGTCCGATCAAAAGTTACACAGTATACAGAAGATAAGTGTCCTAAAATTCGTTTGTGCATCTTCATATGTTGATAGACTGCAGTTGGAACAAGGCGTTCAAGTCTGTATTTTCCGTTTAGTTTTCGTGAAAACAGGGTATCCACTACCAAATGGGGAAAGAAAAAAAAGAAGAGACAGCTTTTATATTGTGCTCATTAAAATGCTTCTCCAGAAAAGTTTATTTCAGCACTGGAACAGTTGCCATTTGAACAGCTTACTATAGCAATGCTCTCATTTCATCCTAGTTAGGGGAAAACACAAAAGTAGCTGATGATACAGATGTGCTAAAAAGCACCAAACTGAAAGGCAGAGTATAAAGACACAATACAACCTTCAACTTCAAGTGCCCAAACAAATGCTTCTCAAAAAATACCAAGTGTGAGAAATTAGAAGGACTGAGGTAGTTTCCACGGTGGAGTAAACAACCTCAAATTTAACAACCTTAAGAACTTCTACATAGCTATTAACTGCAGATCAGCAAACATCCAAATCTTCTCCAAGGCAACCTCTTTCTGAGGTCTACACAACCAAACATTTACTTACCACCTGCAAGATAATGAATTTTCATTTTTTTGAAGGCTACTGCTACCCACTTATCAGACAAAACCCTACATAACAAACTTACCAGAAATCTTACAGAAAATTCTGATTTTGATTAACAGAACCTCATTCAAAGAGTTTGGGATTTTTGTCAAGTTTAAAAGCTAACAAAGTCCAGGAGCAGCAATCTACTTCGTTTTAACAAAATGGAAATCTTCCACAAAGAACTTCAGTAAAGAAAATAAAGCTCCATGTTATTAATTTTAAACTGTTCCTCATACAATGGTAAATCAACAGAGTATATGCATGGATACATGGACATTCATTAGTCCAACAGCTCCCTGTATCATCACTAGACTAGAGAATGGCAATGGTGACACGTTTTCTATGCCCCAGACTTGTGATAAAGCAGGTAATATATTCAGATCTCCACCTTCTGAATACGTGAGCAGTAAAACCACAAATGCCCAACAATGTCCCCAGCACTACACGTACATGAGAAGCAACGTCTACCAGTGCCAAGAGGAGTGGCTGATACTTTGAGTACTGCTCTGGTTTGCCATTCCTGTGACCAAAGCTGTGTCTGTGGCAGTCCCCAGGGTAGGACCAGGGCTGGGCTCTGTGCACCCAATCACATTCACTCTCTAGCACCAACTGTCAGACAGCTGCCAATCTCTGGCATTGCTGGGGTTTGGCCCAAACAAACCAGGCACTGGTTCATGAGTCAGCACAGGTCAAACTCCATTAAATATGCAAACTGGATTGTAGCTACTCTATAAGGAGCAAAGGCACTTTGTGGTATGGACAACTGCCAAGCCCACTGGCCTCAGGCCTTAAGAACAGCCCTGAAACACTTCAGTTAACTGCCAGGGTAGCCCAAAGATCAAAGGAAGTTTTCCACATTAGAGATGGTTTGTGAAGGACCAAGATGTTAGCTGTGGAGGAGGCACTCCTAGCCAAAGTGCCTCAACACTCTAATGCATCCTTTTCACCCTCTTCTTACTTAAGAAAAAGATGCAGTTGCATCTGCTTTTTGACAAAGTTTTTCCTTGCCAACAGTCTACTTTAGAACCACAGGAATCCAAGATTAGTTCAGTCATAAGATAAATCTAGCTTTGGTTTGACAAATCATCCTACAGCAAAAAAAACCCCCCCCCACACACACAAAAAAAAAAAAAAACACCAAAAACACACACCCCAAAAAAACCCACCTCAGACAAAAGACAACAACACACACACAGAGCATAGAGAAAGTCTTTGTCACAACAAAGTGAGTTTGCACAATTATCTCAGCCTGCTCAGAAGTTAACTTCTGTTTGCTTTTAATGTAAGATGGAGAAGGTTATTGGAAATGAGCTTCCAGTAATTCCTTCAAATGAAACCACAGCTCACAAAAAGGGAAAAAAGGCTCAACTGAAAGTTTTAGTTTGAAGAAATGTTGTGTCAATAAATCAAAACTGTAAGCAGACTACTTAAGATAAAACAACCAATGATTTCATGTAAGCATGTCACTTACAATATATATCTGAACTTATAAAAAACCTTTTAAAGCAGTTGAGATAGGTATTTCAAGTTTGAGGGGTTTTTTTGGGTTTTTTTTTTGTTTTTTGTTTTTTGTTTTTTTAATCACTGAAGAACAGTTTGTTTGTTTAACAGAACCTAAAACAGCATTTCTGATGATATTCTCTCTGATAAGAACTGGTAATGAGTACCTTGCTACTAATTCACACATCTCTGGGAAGCTCACTAGATGAAATGCCCCTTGTTCAGTAACAAACTCTCTGGAGGACACAGGAGGCCATACTGTGATACTGGAAAAAAGAAAACTGGGATCTATCTCACTCTTTGGCCTTGATCAAAACTTAAATCATACAAAAATCCCAGAAGTGGTTAAAAATATATTTAAGTGAATTAAAAAGGGATTCTACGGGGGGGGAGGGGGGAGAACCCACAAAAACACCAAGATGTATGGAATTACATTCTATGGGAAGAAAAGCTTTTACCAAAATCATGCAATTGGCAGGGTGGGAGGGGGAGAAACAACCTCTCACAGGTTTGAATACTGTCCGTGAACACAATTTTTAAAAGGCTTCTCAAGCTCGTGTTGTTTTAAACAAAATTCTCACATCCACCATTGTTCTTCAACATGCTCTTCCATTTAACTACATTTACATTTGCTCTCTTGGACTTTGCTATGAGACCCAGTTTGACTTCTCTGACTGACCCATTCCCACTTTTTAATTCCAAATGCTGACAACTCCAATGAGGCACCTGCACTTTGCTAGCACCATAGCATTTATTTCTTAATTCCAGAGTACAGGTAAAAAAGTTAAAAATAGCTGTCTCTCAAAAATAAATTCCTGCAGTTGAACAATAAAATCAATTTTTCTGGTGCAAGCCAAGGCGAGAACAGCTACTAACTGATAATAAGACCTCCGTACTAATTATATGTCTTTGCTCTTATAACAATGGTTACCCATTTCTAGCATCAACACTTGTCAGGCCTTATGTGGTCTCTTAATATACCTTAGGTTGATTTTAACTGCATTCCGAAAAAAAAAAGTGATTTTTAGAAACCCCTGTGACAGCAAGTCTAACATCTCTCCTGATTTAGCCATGTTAGCAGTTTTCTCTCTTTGCTTAAATTTTGCTTGGTCTCACACAAATGAATCCATGCGAACAGAGGTGTTAATCATGGGAAGAGCAATAAGGTATAAGCAGTTAACAGCTGCAGTTGGAGCCACAAAACATAAAATCATAGTATCATGAAGGTTGGAAAAGATCTCCAAGATCATCAAGACCAACCACCACAAGTAATAAGGGAGGGAAGGAGGATGAGATTTTACCCCAGGAAGGGCTAGAGAGCACCATCTGGGCCTTACAGTGAGCCAACCAACACAAAGTAAAGGGCTGGAAAGAAGAAAACAACAAAACAGAGATTGCCTGCTCCTTGCTGGAAGGGCACTGTGGACACAGAGAGAAAGAACTCACATCCAATGCTTGGTCAACTAAGGAAATATTAAAAACGTTCTGACTGCATGTCTACTATTCACATGTAAGATTGTGCTTTAAAAATAAATAAATGGAATTTAAAACAAAGCAAGCAAGCAGATGTTGCTAAGTGGTTCTTGTGCAACACAGGACGGCAACCCACCATTTCCAAATTACATTCTGCTTTCAAAATCAGGATTCTTCATATTTAAAAATGAAGCTAACTGATGAGTAGAAACCAATGCCTGAGAAAGCCATGCATTTTGTTGACATTTTGAACATGTAAAAAACACCTTGCCAAAAACATTCTCCTGTAAGTTGCTATCGGTTGTTCACCAGTTGGTTGCAAATAAAATGAATTTGCTTCTCATTTTTAGGTGACTGGCTCATCTTCACACACCACGACCAGCCTCAGAGACTGAGATGGTTGGCTATTACAGAATGGTCGAGGTGGGAAGGAACTTCCAGAGATCATCTAGTCCAGCTCCCCTGCTCAGGGTCATCTAAAGCAGGTTTCTCCAAGGATGGAGACTTCAGTCTCTCTAGGCAACATGTGCCAAGGCTTTAATCAAGGCTTTTTCTTACGTTTAAATTAACGTTCCTCTATTTCAGTCTGCGTGCATGGCCTCTGTCCTATCAGGAAACACCAACGAAAAGAATCTGGCTCTAACTTCATCACAGCCTGCTAGTTATATATTTACAACCATTGATAACACCCCTCCCACCATGCTGCTTCTTCTCAAGGCTAAGGAATCCAAATCTCTTGGCTTGTCCTTATATGAGAGATACCTCAATCCTTTCATCATCTTCCTGGTCCTTTGCTACACTAGTTCCAGTCTATCCCTGCCTGTCTTGCTCTGAGGAGCCCAGAGCTGGATCCAGCACCGCAGATGTGATGTCACCCACACTAAGCAGAGGGGAAGGAACACATTCAACCCACTGGCAATGCCCTGCCTTCAGCAGCCAGGACGCTGCCTGGGGCTTGGGTGCAAGCACAACTCAGCGTCTGAGATGTCCAACACCAGGACAGCCAGCTCGTTTTCTGCAAAGCTGTTTTCCAGCCAGTTAGCCCCTGATGTCAACTGCTGCATGAGGTTCCTCTTCCCCAGGGGCAGGAACTTGGTACTTCTCTTTGTAGAACTTCATTAGATTCCTGTTGACTCATTTCTCCAGCCTGTCAAGGTCCCCCTAAATGGCAGCACAGACCATCTGACCCATCCATCATTTGCTCTAGCTCTGCATTGTCTGCAAAGCTTGGTATTTCACCATTCAAGCTATTAACAAAGATGTTGAACAACACTGGCTCTGGTATCAACCCCTGGAGTATAACATTAGTGTCTGGCCCTCATGCCAGTCACAGGAATTCATGCTGCTGATCACAACCCTTTGAGCCCAGCTCTCTGGCCCATATCTTAGCAGTTTGTCAGTGAGAATGTTATGGGAGCCTAAAAAAGACTGGCTGAAGTCAAGATAAACAAAATTCACTACTGTCCCTTCATCCTCCAAGCCATTCATCCCATTTAAAAGTCTATCAGGCTATCCAGGCATGACTTCTCTTTCACAGATTAACACCAACTACTCTCAACCACATTCTCGTCCTTAGTATACTGGCCTCCAAGAGTATTTGCTTCATCACTCAAGGACCAAGGTGAAGAGAAGCCACCCTTAGTTCCAGTATTCCTTGCCCTCTTTCAAGGCAGGAGTGACATTAGTTCTCTTCTAGTCCTCAGGAAGCTCTTGATCACCCTTAACATTTCAATAGCATTTCAATAATTAAGGAGTGGCCTTGTAATGACATCAGCCATCACCCTCAGCACCCAGGGATGCATCCCATGAGGGCCCATGGACTTACACATATAGTTTGTTCAAACATTCCCTAACCTCATCCTCCTCCACCAAGGAAAACTCTTCCTTGCTCCATACCTTTCCCCTGACCTCCAGGGTCTGAAATTTTTGAAGGCTGGTACTACTAGTGAAGACCCAGGCCAAGAGGGCATCAAATATCTCATGCTTTTCCAGGTCTTTTGTCATTAGGGCCCCTGTCCCATTCAGCCACAGGCCCTACCATTCCTCCTGCCGTCAGACCTGTAAAAGCCCTTTGTGTTTATTCATGTCCCTCAAAAGACCTAATGCCAGAACAACTCTGACTGTTGTTACTGCAGAATCGCAGAAGAGATGAAGTTGGACATGACCTCTGAAAATCATCTAGTCTAATCCTCCTTTGACAGCAGGGTCAAATACAAGTTGCTCAGGACTTTTTATTAGTTAAAAAAAAAAAAAAAAAATAAATAATGGGGGAGGGCGAAAAACACGGATTTCTTTATGCACAGGCTCTAGCCTTAAGCTCTAAATGTAAGAGTTTAAATTCCTTTTTATAAGGGCCACTCAGGAACCTAAACTATGAATGGAGAGTTAGGCTCTTAAAACAACTTAGTGAAACAGAACTTTGGTGGGTTTGTTTTGTTTTGTTTTAAATCTCATTTCTACTGTTACAATTCATTGCTGCCAACAACCTTAAGCTGAAAACCACACAACTCAAAGAGTCAAGATAACGTTATTTGTTTGGTTTCCTTCAGAACAACTTAAAAACCAAACAAATATAAAGCTGATGAAGGTGAAGTGGTGGGAGTTTTCAGTGGAACTTATGAAAAGACTACAGATTTTCTCCCACTCAAAAGGCATTTAACAGGGACCAATTGAATGCCTTCAGAACCTGAAGAATGTCTCCAATTCACTTCCCACCCAAAACAGAACAAGCAGCTCAGAGAAAACCAGCCATCTGTAAAGTGATGGTGTTGGCTATGCTGATTTGCACACACACACACCGGCCCCTGCTTTCTTATTTTAATCATAGGGACCAATTCCATCACCTTATTTACATGGTCTTATCCTAGAATGTGAAATATGCCTTAAAGATGGGGGACACTAATGTGCCTTATCCACCAGTCAGTGATTAACCAAATTTAATTTCGTATCAAGTAGATTATGTTTTCAAAAACAAACAAAAATCATTATTGCTTATCTTTCTTTTACTTCCTTTCTGGAGTTGTAATTAATGAAGTTCTTTTCTCAAGAACAGAATTCACTTTCACTCCCCTTCCATTTGCACAAAACCAGAACCAGGGTCAGCAGAAACCTGGAAGGACACCTGAAGAATACACTTTACTTACAACTCCTACCTATTCTGAATATTTCAACAACTTGAGAGGCTGGACACACCTCTAATGAATACCAAGGCACTCAGTGATGTTAAAAACAATAATAAAAAGTAGAGACTGCAAGACTTCACCTTCCACACTCAAATCTAGTAAGATTAAATCTATCCAGCACACAGTTTTGGGTTATTTTTCCTCCTTCTACAAAGATGTCCAAGATGAAAAAAGCAGCTTGAACTGAATTCTACCTTCCTACCATTTTTCTGTTCAAGTTCTAAACTCTATGCAGTACTCCAAGCTTCCTGGTTTATAGACGATTTTCAACCAAGTAAAGCTGTTACTCCATTGATTCAATCAAGCAAGAATTTGTCTCTGGGTATTTCATGAAGATAAAAGGATATCATCTCCTCACTGAAGCATTTATGAGAATATAAAAATTCTATATACATCTGAAACTTTACAAATAATAATAATTTGCTCAATGAAAGTAACTAGCAACTCTTATTAATTCAGAGATGTAGGAGGTAAGAGGTTCTGAAAGGTAGAAGGTAAAAAAAAAAAGGAAAGCTACACAATCTCAAGCATTTCCAAACCATTCCCTTGCTTCAACTACGTTGTCCAATCTCACTATGTATTTATTCAGTTTATATTTTACTCTAGTCTAAGTTCCGTAAGACTTCTACAGCTCATTTCTTCTTACGTAACAATTTACTCTAGTACAAGTCACTTCAGACTTGCACATTTAGAAGAGTATGTTACTTTTACACAGATTCTTTAACACAAAAGTTGCCTTTTTTTTTTCTTTTTTTTTTTTTTTTTTAACCTTGATTAAAAGAATAAGATAGCTACACAAAGTACTCTTAGGTTAGCTTTTAGGCCTGAAGTCTATATACTGTGTTTCTAAAACCAGACACCTACACCACTCTCAGAACCTCATTCTCTTTACAGCCAAAACAGCAGCACTGTTTAATAAAGCTGTGAGGAAAGTGCAAAATGCCTCAGAACTTTTATTGAAGTGAAGTACTATTCAGCAAGACCATGAAATGTCTGTAAAGGCAGACATTTGCTGGTGAGGAAGAACATTCTTCATTGTCTGGTGAAAACAGCCAGTCTCATTCAGGTCTTCACACCTGAGTAGCCAGCTGCCCAAGAGCTCTTGAGCTCAAAGCTCTCAAAGCCTTGTTTTGGTTTTGTGTTTTTTCACCAGTTCTTAAGTACCACCAAAAGAGACTTTTTTCTGCTTTTGCATCCAAGAAAACAAGGCCTTTAACAAAACAAATTAGCATGTGACACAGCTCTTTTTTGTTCTTAATTAAGCAATTCAGCAACTTTATATAAGATACATTACACAAGTGACAGCAACTGGACAAAGACTATTCCTTATTCAAGCTTTGTTTCTCTTTATTAATTTCTATAGATACTCTGTAGTTTTCTGGAGTACTTATTTGTATGAATGTTTATTAACTGCATATAAACGAGCTACCTACAAGGCAGTTGGTACAACATTCACAAAAATTTAATTCTAAGGAATATCCCATCACTATCATAATCACTGATTCATCAGGCTAGGATGCTGTATTTGTATTTCTGTATATTCACTGAAATGTAAATTAACTTTTCCTGCACAGGATAGAAAAGACTTCAGTATTATTTTCTGTTCCTCAACCACTAGTGGATCCTCTACCTGAAATACATACAGCCTGAAAAGTAATAGGTTCCAAAGTGATTTTATTGAGCAAATACATAAAATACTGCCTTCCCAGGGGAAACTGAAGAAGTTATTTAAGGAAACAGAACAAAATTTTCTAGTTCAGTTTCTAAAAGAGGTGTTATTCCAGTTCATGATTTCATTGAGAGGATCAGAATAGAATAGGATAAATCAAAACCAAATGTTCTAACATAGCTCTGAACCAGACATCCAAAAATCCAAATACATTTCACAGTTGAAAACATTCAGTCAGCAGCACTTATCTCAATGTTTGGAAAAGGAAATTATTGGTCATGAAAAAAAGTGGTATGTTGAAATAACTATAATTTTGCAAATACACAGTGCTCTGCAAAAGGTTCAATAAAATAACATTTATTTAGAAAGCCTTACTTGTTCTTACCTAAAAAGACTCTGAAAGTTATTTTTCTTAACATTCTACTACCACAGCAACTCCACAACTTTCTCTGAACTCCAGCTGCCAAGGATTTCATACACGGGCCTTTCCCCTTAAAAACTATAAGGAGCTTAGTGACTGAGGAATTCTAATAGGCAAGTTACCACATTAAAAACACCTCTGTTCTGAAAAGCACCTGCCTATATGTTTGTACACTGTTACTCATTAGTCCCTCAATTTATCTTCACTCTTCTCTTGTCTTGCCAAGACAGAAACCTTTGTCTTTGCAGCTGCTGCACCTGATCAGGAGCCAATGCACTGGGTATTCTCTGCCCACTCTCACCCAACACTACAGATCTAGCTGCAACTACCATTTTGGTATAAAACACTACTCTTTGGGGATAATCAACACTGGTAATTTGGTCTTAACTCCCTCTTCCCTGGACATCAGCAGAGAAAGATAAGAAGACACGTGACTTTGCATATTTTCCTATCCATGATAAAAGAAAAAAGGATGCTCCTTAAAGAATCCCCTAAAGTAACATGTCTTGATTCTTCTAGCAACTAGAGAAAACCCATGCATCTTCTCATTAAAATGCTGAAAGCTAACAAACACATTTTAGTGACCATATGAGAGCTTAAAAATAATGGAAAAGAAGTGATAAAGAACACCTCTGACCTCCAGATTCTCATTTTTTCAACAGTACAGACAGAATATGGCTGCTTCACTATACAGCACAGAAACTAAAGCACAGTTACAAAATTTCTGAATGGCCCAGCAAAAGAGTAACTTTTGCAAGACACTCAAATCCTTCCAAAGATAACCTTTATCAGCTTATGCAACCTATTCTCCCCAGCAATGGGTGCAGGCCATGCTGTCCTGTTTTAAGTTTTCACATAGTCCTAAATATTTATCTACTGACAGCTTTATTACATCTTGAAGAAAAAGAGAGGGGTTTATTTGTATGTATTCACTGTTGAACTATATTTCATTCTGTTTCATACTTCAAAGACAAAAACAGCTTCAGAGAAGAGCTAGTATATAAATTTACAGAACCCTTTTTTCCCCCCACATAAGAACTGGTAAATACGACAGTACAACATCTTGATAAAAAAATACCAAAGACAAAGTATATGACATGAACAAGGACAAATATAACACAAGTACTACTTAGCTCTTCAATCACTCTGGAAGCTGGGTATTACCGTGGCAATGCCAGAATAAAACTGACTTACCTATACTAGGTGGACTGCCATAATTTACAGGAGACTCTGGAGGCCTCCCACAGTGTAGCGCAGCAAGAGCGGATCCCTTCCACACAACGTGTTTGCAACCTGTTTTAAAAAAATGACAAAAAAAATGTAGCCAAGTGTTTTTTCATGTGAAAACGCAGAAAAGGCATGAAATTTCAAGAACTCTCAAAATTCTCATCAGGTTTTCATACTTTTGTTTGTACGAAGTAAAGACTGTCTGCCAGCTCCTAGTAACGTCTGCACTCCAGGGACACTTTGGGGAATTTCTTGCTCTAGAAGCGGTCCAAGTCGATGGCATATTTGAAGCAAGTGATCAGGTGCCAAGTGTCTGTAATATTTCACCTATTATATGAAAGAGCAAACAAAGCATTTGATAAATAACATATTTTTGAAGAATTTCTGATTTTTTCCCAGATTGTTACACAAATTCTTATAAAAACTAAAGTATAATAAAGGTAAAAACAAGTAGTGACCTTTAAATACAATAATCCATTCCAGCTGGTCCTAATTAATTCTTCTGTTCAGCACATGCAACTTTGTACAGAGAACGGTTGGTATTTACTACTTTCTGACTCTAATGCACAGCTGGTCAGACTAACAAGCTCCTTTATTACCACAGTAAAAAATGTGAACCATATATTCAGTACTATGTTTACTCAGTGGTCTGGTCAATTTAAGTTACTGTAAGATAAAGATGAGGCAAGATTGTAAGGCCAGAAACATTTTCAGAATTCTTGGAAGAGTCACATATACCGAATAAATAGCACAGCTTTGTGAATGACAATGCAGAAACGTTTCGCCTCAACTCGCCTATATTACAAGATCTTGTCAAAGGTCCACAAGTGAATTTTGGTTTTGTTTGGGTTGGTTGGTTGGTTTGTTTTTTAACTTTAGAATTGGTATATGTGGTCAGCTATTAGACTATGGGTATGACCAGTTTCTGTAACTGCTCATGGCTTTCACCTGCACGGTACAAAACAAGCTCCTATTACCAGCAACAGACCTTCTCACCACTTGATTATAACAATGTGGAACCAGCATTAATGACTGCCCAGACAAAACCATTTCATTTTTCTGAACTACTATAAGATCTAGAATTATATAACAAGGGGGGAAAAAACACTTCAAGATATGTGACAATAGTAAAATATTATGAACATAAAGGTTTTGGTTAAGAACCAGCGTATTTAAAATGCAGAAGCTATTGTCAGCTTAGACTATAACAAACAAAATTTAAAATAATAAAATTGAAGGCAGGATAGAAACTCAGTTTTCTTCAGCTCTGATACAGTATTCGGCGTGTAGTAGTTTTATCCTTCATGCAGCCTGAAATAGGTCTTCACAGTTTTACTTCACAGAAGAAGGAAAAAAACCAAAACCAGCAAAGTACTGCAGTGAAAGCATGTGATGTTTTGTTATTCGGCAACTAGGGAAGGCCATGACTGACACTGTAGGCAGCATGATGCTTCTTTATTACACCCAATTATCAGGAATATACCTCATTCTTCATCAAATGTGCTCCTATCTTGCTGACACACTGCAATTGCTTCGTGTACTCTCACGGCCTGTTAACATAAAGAGCTGATGTCTGAAGCAAAAGCTCTTGATGAGCCCTGCTTACACCACTGATCCCCACAACCTTCTGGAGGAGGAGGAAGCTTCCTTATTTGCTCCTGTCATGGTTTAACCCCAGCTGGCTCAGCCCCACATGGCCACTTGCTCACTTCCCCCCAGGTAGGATGGGGGAGAGGATGAGAAGGGTAAAAAGAGGGAGTGAGATGAAGACAGAGTGGGTTGAGATAAAGACAGTTTTAATATGTAAACCAAATGCTACACAGCTAGCACAGTAAAATAAGGAATTCCTTCACCACTTCCCATCATTGGGCAAATGCTTAGCTGCTTCCAGGAAAGTGGGGCTCTCCTTCTGTGAATTGTATTACATTTGTAGAATGCTTTGCAAGCTGCCTGAATTTGGCTGCCTTGAAGCCATGCAACTTAAAAAAAAAAAAAAAAAAAATTATATTTTTTACGGAAAAGTCTCCTTCTTGTGTGAATTTAAGACAAGCTACAGTTGATTGTACACATAAACTCATTTAAAATTACTGTCATCAGACAGGCACCCTGTTAGAAGAGTGGCAAAAAATAACCCACTGAATTCAGAACTTGCTATTCTGGTTTATTTTTCTTATAAGTAACATGCAAATAAATCTTGCTTTTTTTTTATTCTTAAAGGAGGAACCACAATAAATAAACATGCTTGGAAGGCCTAATATATCAGAATAGCTGCAAGAATTAACAAAGCTGTATACACTTTCTGCCATCAACAGCTCTAATCTGTTTCCTTAGATTTTGCTCTCCTCCGCTCATACCAAAAAGGAACACAAACTTAAATACTGCTTTTCTTATAATTCTACCTGAAACCAGACCTCACATCTGCAGAATCTAAACTTGTACCTCAAAGAATATTAATGATTTCTTTCTCTTTAACCACAAATATGGGAGGTACCTATGCAACATAGTTGTCACTTTATCCTGCTCAAGATCCTTCAGTTTTACATATGCTCATAAACGCACAAAATCTGAAGTAAATGAAGCAAACTGGCTTTGACACATTCCAAAACTACAGCTATCTGACATCTTGAGTCAGACTTCTCATGATTTGTCATAAGCCATGTGTTCACTTTTTTATTTTAGCAGAAACTAGTCAGGCTCAATCCCTCACGCAGTTTTAAAAGCCAATGTTTTGAGAAGGGGGAATCTATCTGTATTACCCTCGATCACACCTATTAGAGATCTTAATATATACCTTATGTCCATACTAGTCTCTCCTCCTTTACATCCGCTTGTGTGACAACACCTATTTATGCCAAGTTATGCAGTACTTGTGGCATTTCTGCACAGCATTTGTCTGAATGATCATTGTTCGTTACTAAGTGGCACACACAAACAGCTCTTTAACTGATTCAACAACACCGAGCCATAGGCTTGAAAAAAAAACACCCTGGACATCTAAATAGTTGTCAGTACCAGAAAGTTTATAAAACTGTGTCCCAAACTACACACCATCAACATTTGGCTCTCATCTTCCTACAGAACACTGAAGTACATACAAGAAACTTTTAAAAATTAAAAAAAGTAAACTTCATTTCAGGGTGAAATCTGAAAGGGAAAAACCCTCTCATTTCCTTATAGCTTTTATTTGGACTTCTTTCCCTTTTCTCCTTTTATAAATAAGCAATCGTGGAACTTTAACAATGTATCAAACCCAGACTATTAGGTAAGTTTTTTTCAGGTAAAGTATTTTCTTCTCAATCAGCCAAAAAAAAAAAATATTTTCTTTCAACAGTACTAGTGGAATAATTCCAGCTTAAGGGGACCTACAATGATCACCTAGTCCAATCGCCTGACCACTTCACGGCTGACCAAAAGTTAAAAGCATGTTATTAAGCACATTGCCCAAATGCCTCTCAAACACTGACAGGCTCGGGGCATCGACCATCCCTCTAGGAAGCCTGTTCCAGTGCTAATTTGTAGCTGTGACTATCAGCACTAAAGTAGAAGTTACAAATGAAGAAAGTGTGCAACAGAAATTCACCTCAATCCTCCC